CATTGTGTTGAGGTGAGGCTGACGTATTGAGGAGAGGATGACGTGTGTGGCGAGGCTGACGTGTTGAGGAAAGGCTGACGTGTGTGGCGAGGCTGACGTGTGGCGAGACTGACGTGTTGAAGCAAGGCTGGCGTGTTGAGGTGAGGCTGACGTGTTGAAGCAAGGCTGACGTGTTGAGGTGAGGCTGACGTGTTGAAGCAAGGCTGACGTGTGGAGACAAAGCTGATGTTTATAGTTGTGTCGGTTACACTGGGCTAAAACTTGACTGGAATGTTTAACACTCTTCTGTTTTGGTCTAAACACGATACAACCAAGTCACATTAATTTTTTCTTCCCTCTTTCTCTTTCTCTTGCTCTCTTCACGGGGAAAGAAAGAGAGAGAGAAAAACCTTCGTAATTTTCAGTACCGGTTGATTTTTATTTAAATCTTCAACACACTTCAGCAACAAGAACAGAATACAGACGTCGGCACAACTACCACCACCACCACTAAGACGACGACGTTGAGTTAAAACACAGACGCGTTCTAAAAGTTGGTGCCAGAAAGAAAACAACAAATTTAGGCGCGTTTGGACTACCACCTCGGGTTCCCAAACCGAGGAATTCGTCGATGCCAGGACGTCATTGGACCACCGCCTTCATCCTCCGCTTAAAACACACTCGGTATGTCTCACAAATCGCTGTGCCAAGAGTAGAGAAGTGGCACTCGAGATACGTCAAGGAGGAGTAGATGTTAGCGGCAGCGAGGACGAGCGATACTGGTGGTGTGGGGGAGTGGTGGTGGTGGGAGTGAGTATGGTGGTGGTGTGTGTGTCTGTGCACCTGGCCGGTCCACTAGATCAGCTGCTGCTGGTGCCCCGTGTGTGTGTGTGTGTGTGTGCGTGTGTGTGTGTGTATGTGTGTGTGTGTGTGCGCGTGTGTGTACATGTGTCTGTCACTCGGGCCCGCAGCACCTGCACGCACGCGCACCACGAGCACTACCACCACCACCACACCCTCCTTTACCTGTGTGCCCCCTCCTCCCCCACGACCCTCTCTACATGGCCCCCCTCCTCCCCCCGCCCTCCACACTCCTTGTCTCAATTCTTTTTCTCTTTGCTCTTCTTTCCTACGCTTTGTGTTAATATTCTTAAGACAGTTTCCCCCTTCAGGTGTAGCAGGTCCCTCACCTTCTCCCACCTCTAAATAAATGACTTCATAACTTTCCAAAATAAGGCGGAACCAAATTTAATACACCAATCCTTCCTTCCTTCCTTCCTTCCTTCCTTCCTTCCTTCCTTCCTTGTGTATATTATTTCTTTATCGTGTTTTTTATTCTTCTACATTTTCGTCAACACTTTCTTCCTCGTGTCTAATCTCTCCTCACCTGTTCTTGGCCAGACACGTAAATTACCACAGGTGAACTTTCCGTAATAAGACGTAATCAAAGGTTAATGTATACCCGTGTGTCTTATCACCTGTGTTAATTCCTTTGTTTATCGGGTTGTTACGAAGTCTTGTGCGTGATGTAATGGTTAACGATTAACTTCACACCTGTACCACCACGCTGCTGCTGCTGCTGCCAGGTCGGTTACAATACCTTGAACCACGTGTCTTTTACTGACCACAAGGTACCTCTATCTATCTATCTTTAGTTTTATTTTTTCTTAATTTTTATACTCTCTCGTTTCTTTCTTTCTCTCCTTATCTATTTATCTTTATTCTAGCTCTTTCTCTCTTCTTCATCTCTGTGTGTCTCTCTCTCTCTTCTCCCCTATCTACCTTTCTTTCACATTCGTCTCTCTCTCTTTTATCTCCATCTCTCCCCCCCCTCCTCTCCCCCCCCCCAGCATCACCTACATCAGCAGCTGCATGTGGGGGGTGGGGAGAGGAGGGGGGGCCATGTTCGTGACGTCACTAGGATCCGGATGGTATGCTACACGAACGAGAAATCCGCTTCCGGGAACAGGGATAATTAACCACGGAAGTCGACTCATTAATCTCTGGATCCGGACCTTAAATTAATCGAACTTGACTGATCTTAACCTAACTTTACAGTTCTTAGCCTGACTTAACCTAACCTTACTTTACCTGAATGAACCTAACTTAACCTAACCTAAACTAACTGAAGCGAAGTTAAACTAACCTAACCAGATAGACAGACGGGCACACACGCACACACACACACGCACACACACACACACAGTGACAGACAAAGGTGTAGTGGCAAGAGGAGCGGGAGGCGGGTAATGATTATAGGTAAGTGTATGTCAGCTGTTAGCTTAAGGTAGATGCCACTATTATGGTCAATTAAGAGTGACACTTTCTTGCCTTCGCTGTCTTGAGAGAGAGAGAGAGATAGTAGTATTATTGGCCAAAATGACCGTCTGCTTGGTCACTGCGCATCCATCCAGGGATTACTGTCCTCGTCCTCAATAAGCCTGGCTTACTTTCTCCAGCCTGGCAAACTTTCTCCCTCTTGGCTTACTTTTCCCCCTTGCCTTACTTTCTCCCTCATGGTTTACTTTTTCCCTCTTGGCTTACTTTTTCCCTCTTGCTTACTTTCTCCAGCCTGGCCTACTTTCTCCAGCCTGGCTTACTTTCTCCTACCTTGCTTACTTTCTCTATCTGGCTTACTTTCTCCGGCCTGGCTTACTTTCTCCGGCCTGCCTTACTTTCTCCAGCCTGTCTTACTTTCTCCAGCCTGGCATACTTTCTCCCTCTTGGCTTACTTTCTCCAGCCTGGCTTCCTTTCTCCCCCTTGGCTTACTTTCTCCCTCTTGCTTACTTTCTCCCTCTTGCTTACTTTCTCCCTCTTGCTCACTTTCTCCCTCTTGCTCACTTTCTCCAGCCTGACCAGATGAAAAGCGACTAACAACTGGCCATCAGAATGTCCAACATCTCTAAAAAAAACAGATGAGGAACGACTAGAAACACTGAAATATCCGGAGAGAGAAAAAAGACATCAACCTCTGCACTGATCTTGTCTAAACCGGCCGCCATCACCAACACGTAATGGATAATGACTGAGTGTTCCGTCTTACACAGGAAGTGACTTAATGGTAGTTCGTATCATAAAGGGTAGTGGTGGTAGGAGGGTGGGGTGAGAGGTGTGGGGTGTGGGTTATGGGGTAAGGCGTGTGTGGGTTATGAGGTGAGGGTTGTGGGTTATGGAGTGTGGGGTGAGGGGTGAGGTCAGGGGGTTATGGGTGAGAGTTGTGGAATTAGAGATGACGTGTGAGGGATGTGGGGGTGAGGTGGAAGGGTGATATTGGGGGATTGAGCATGTGTGCGTGTGCGTGTGTGTGTGTGTGTGTGTGTGTGTGTGTGTGTGTGTGTGTGTGTGCAAGTAGCTGCATGTTTATGTCCACATTTAAAATGTATGTATGTGTATGTATGTATGTGTGTATGTGTGTATGTATGTATGTGTGAGTCTAAATGTTTATATTAACATGTGTGAATGCACGAACACACACACATGTACGAGTACACATAAACCTGGAAATTACCATGTTTTTATACGATATTATGTGTGTTGGCGTTTAGGCACACACACACACACACACCACATCAGGTCCCTCATAACACCATCTATGAAGGAATTATTACACCACGTGATGCCGCTCTTAACACCATCTGCGAGGGAGATACTACACTGCGTGACCTCCACTGTAAAGCTTAATCTGTATGTTCACTGTAGGTTCCTTTACCTTTCTCTAATGAAGGCTTTTGTTAAACCACCAATGTATGTAATAAATCATTTATGTCCAGTGTATATTTTCAGCCTTCAGGCTGCAGAACTTTTTTAATAAACCGTTAATTATTATTATTACACTCACACACACGTTCAAACACACTACACTACCTCCTCGACCCACTATTCACTCTACCCTAACAGAGAAGCTTAAACCTAATTACCACCCACTACCCGTAATTCCAGATCGAGGCTCGCGTGATTACCTAAACCATAGAGGAATCCCACAGCTGCCACCACTTGTTTAATCGGCCCCGTGAAGACTTATGAGAGCCGCCGCCTCCTACTCTTCTTAGCTGAGTGTTTTTGTTGCTCACGTTTAGTTCCTAGAAGGAATTTACGCTTATTACTTTAGTTGTGGGAGGAATTAAATGTTTTTTATAGACGTCTGAGTAGAATATGAACGATTAATTCTGGGTCTTTGGTGAAGTTGTGTGTGTGTGTGTGTGTGTGTCTCAGTCGTGTAACTTAAATAACAAGAGAGATTAAGATCTCTCAAGAGGTCTAACAAGAGATGTTATAATCGCCTTAACTATTAGACAGGACAGGTTACAGCGTCTAAAGAGAAAATACAAGATAACACAGCCTCTTGCGTAAGTCGAAACAAATCACTATGTCCAATAATTAAGAAACAAACAAATAAACAACATCAATAACCTTTCTAAACAAACATACAAAGAAACAAACAACAATTAAACCCAATACAAAACAAACACAAAATCATTCTTCATAATTCACTTAGTTTTATTTTCCTTAATAATAAAACATAAATAATACAAACACTACATAAGACACATCACCTTAACTTTTATCTAATCTGAATACAAATTAAAACTGTCAGCAGAAATTAATCCCCTTTACTAAGTCACTTTTAACTGCAGAATGAACAGCTCAAAGCGTAGACTTCATTTTCCTAAGTAAACACCAGCGTCATTTTTATTTTCTTTCACTATAATGTTAGAAAATAGTAAATTGTTATATAGTTAGAGTAAACATAGTGATTGTTGATGTAAATAGTTGTGAGAGTTTACCTGAATAAATACCCACATCTTTTATCATTTTCTTTCATCATCTTTCAATATATAATGAAAGAAATAAAATAGCTACGGTAAGGTCTAATAATTTCATCATATAGTGAAAATGGCAACATACATACATACATGGGTGAGTCAGAACGAATCAGTGACCAGCACTTTGAACAACTCAAGCGAACACATTGATGAGGGGAAGGGGGGGGGGGCTAGACTACAATATACCCAATGTTAAAACAAAACCACGAACGGGATAACCTAAATCATTTATTTTCTCAAGGTAAACGAGATTAATCAGGAAAAAAACTAATCTATCCCAAGTTTTTTTTAATCATCATTATGGTTTATTTAATCAAATTACGTTGGTTCATATTCCTCTCCCTAATAATAATCAAGAAGCGGGTTGGCGGTCGTGGTACTTTTCGAACATTGTAAGGCTTTGCAGATGAGGCCACAATCGCTCTCAGGACAAACAACATGTAAACAAACTTAAGAAAAAGTCTTAATCACTTACTAATAAAATAACAATATAAATAACATCACAGAAAGCCAAAAAAAAAACATTATTAACAAATGAAATACATATATAACTATATAACTATACAAGACATACTAACAGATATACAAACACACATACACAAACGTAAACAAACAAACAGACGCAGATATTATATTTTCCTCGCTCTGGTATCGGGGTTAACGGTGTGATAATTCAGAGTTATAAAGTACAGCAGCGGTACAGAGCCATAAAGTACAGCAGGGGTACAGAGACATAAACTACAGTAATCATTCAGGTATAAATTTTGGTATTACTTTAGAACTACGACGCACCGTCTGTAATTACGATTTTAACTGTCTATCCATAACTGGGGTAGGGTGTGGGGGTCAGGGGGTGAGGGGGTGTGGGGGGTGAGGGGGGGTTGAGGGAGGTTAAGGAGCACACAATCCAGTAATCTGTTTGTCAGTCTTTCTTGATATGACTGATAGAGTTTCTCCAGCGCGAGGGAAATATTTTTCGAGTCGACGTAAATTAGCCAATGAAGAGTCAGCGATCATCCACATAACAAAGATAACAAAATTACGAAACACTCAGTCAAGAAAAGGCATTCATATAGCTTACTGACGCAACTATGAATGTTCTTCAAGCATCAGAAGAAACAGAATACGTCCAAATCCCAAAGACTACAATAATCCCTCTCAATAACGGACTTCTCAACAACATAATGGGTATCGTAAACCCTCTCAATACAAGACTTATCAATAGTGGATATTCTCAATAACAGAATCCTTCCAATAATAGACAGGGCTTGTAAGGATTACTCTGGCATTGGGAGGGTTTACTATATTCATTACTTTATTGAAGATTCCGTTATTGAGAGGGTTTATTGTGTTTATACGTATTATAGTCTGTCTGGATCCCGGCGTTCAGTTCTCGCCTCTGCTGCGCCCATAGAAGAGGGTGTTGGAGTAAGCTTGCTGGATCACATTATTGAAGTTATGTTGTGTGAGCTGCGACAAACTGGGACCTCCCCCTGCAGCGGAGTACCCACCCGAACCTGCTACGGCGGGAGGAACTATCTCACTCTCTTCATGTCCATTCTTCCCTGTCTTCCCGTCGTTATGGTCCCCCTCCCCCTCGAAGGGTCTGGGTAATTCCTGAGAGAAGAGGGTCTGTAGTTGGTTCTCGTCGTAGTCGCTGAAGGTGTCCTCAGGCTCCAGGTAGAATAGGTCGTCCTCAGCCAGGTCCCCAACGTCGTCATCATAGTAGTCGTCGAACTCACTGTGTGGGAGAGATGAGGTGTTGGTTTGGTGTTGTGGCGGTAAGAAGGGGGAGGTAGGGGAAGAAGAAGAAGAAGAAGAAGAAGACAGAAAGACACAAAGGAAGAAAAACAACACAATGAAAATGACAGCAAAACGGGTACCAAAAATTCCCTCTCATAAAAGACCACAAAATAAATCCCTCTTACAAGTTTAAAATCCTATTCGGAATCCCAAGCTGTAATCCCTAATTTGTTCTTCAAGAGGAACTTTTATACATCATTCAACTCTGATTTACCAAACTTACGTGAAACAATGGGACTTATATTCCAACTTTGTTTCTGAGGAAGTGAGGGGAGGAATGGAGAAGGAGAGGAGGAGGGGGTGAGGAGGAGGAAAGGAACTAGGATGGGAGGAAGGAGGTGAGGATGGGGGGAGGAAGGAGGGGGGAGGGGGAGGAGGGAGGGGGAAGGGGGTAGGGGTATGTCTTGTCATTACTGAAGGTAGCTTATGTGACCGTCTTACGTATTGAAGTTACCTGCTTTTTCCAACTTTCACTTAAATACATGTTTCTGCATCCAGCTGTCATAATTTCCACTATAATTTCATCTCTCTCTCTCTCTCTCTCTCTCTCTCTCTCTCTCTCTCTCCTACCTGGCCTGGGTGTGGGTGGTGATGTGAGTTAGGTTGTAGCCACCATTACCAGCATACACCAGCACGGGCGACTCCTCCTTCCACGCCGTCAAGTTCATGGTCGGGATGTTAGGCCCTTGACACGACTGAAGAACGTTTCTGTAGGGAATTAAGAGGCGATTTTAATTGGGTGTAACTATAGAGATTATTTAGGTGACAGAGTAACAGGGATTTATGGAGGGTTCAGTATGGAGAGTTCAGTATGGATTTAAAGGGCTTCAATGTGGAGGGACCGGTGTTTAAATGTTTTAATAAGAATTAATAGAATTTCAGTAAGGATTTAAGTAAATATTTCAGTAGAGAAAGAGAGAGAGAGAAAAAAAAAAACTTATTTTCTCCATTATATAAACCAATAACTGAATCCCTATTATATAAACCAACCTAGAGATAAAAAAACAAACTTACTTAATCCTGGAATCCAAATAGTCAACCCACCTTCCGCTTTCTGTTGGTGGCCCTAAACTAGTTAAGCCACCTACCGTTTTCTGTTGGTGGCTCTAAACTAGTTAACCCATAGACTGTTGGTGGCTCTAAACTAGTTAACCCACCCCCCGTTTTCTGTTGGTGGCTGTAGACTATAACCCACCTAGTTAACCCACCTTAACAAACTGACTTAATCCTGGAATCCAAATAGTCAACCCACCTTCCGCTTTCTGTTGGTGGCCCTAAACTAGTTAAGCCACCTACCGTTTTCTGTTGGTGGCTCTAAACTAGTTAACCCACCTTCCGTTTTCTGTTGGTGGCTCTAAACTAGTTAACCCACCCCCCGTTTTCTGTTGGTGGCTGTAGACTAGTTAACCCACCTCCCATTTATTGTTAGTGGCTCTAGACTAGTTAACCCACCTCCCGTTTTCTGTTGGTGGCTCTAGACTATTTAACCAACCTCCCGTTTTCTGTTGGTGGCTCTAGACTATTTAACCCACCTCCCGTTTTCTGTTGGTGACTAGACTATGTAACCCACCTCCCGTTTTCTGTTGGTGGCCGGAAGAGATTGGGCTGCAGCTGGTCTACGTCGTCCAGGTTATCACACAGCACCCTGGAGAGTGTTACCTTCCTCACCTCCCGCAGCTGCTGAGGCGTGAACGACGACACCAGACCACCGTTCTCGAACCAGAAGCGATCACCTGTAGGAGGGGAAGAAGGAGGAGGAGGAGGTAGTATTGTTGGTTATATTGGTGTACAGAGAGAGAGAGAGAGAGAGAGAGAGAGAGAGAGAGAGAGAGAGAGAGAGAAATAAATGGTGAAGATATTTGGTAGTGAAGTAAGATTCATATATTAGTGAGTGAAGTAAGGATAAGATAGTAAGTAGTGAAGGATGATTAAGAGAAGCGAGAAGTGAAGCAAGAGTAAGATAGCGAGTTGCAAAGCGGTGGCTGAATGAAGGAAGGAGAGGAGGGATGAAAGAAGAAGAGTAGGAAGACAGAAGGGAATGAAAATAAGGGAATGAAAGAAGGAGGAAAAGAAAGAAGGAAACAACGAATTAATGAATGTAGGAATAAATGGAAGGGAGAAAAAAGAAAGACATGAAAGAGAAAACAAAGGAATGAAAGAAAATAAAGAAAGAATGAATGAAGGAATGAAAGAAGAAAATAAAGAAAGAAAGAATGAAAGAAAGAAAGGAGGATTGAAGGGATGAAAGAAGAAAATAAAGAAAGAATAAAAGAAAGGAATGAAGGAAGAAAAGAGCAAGAAATAATAAAAAAGAAAGAAGGAATGAAGGAAGGAAAGAAGGAAGGACTCACCCCGGCGGAGATTAAGGAACTGTTGCCCGAGGATACAGGCGAAGGTTGGCCCCACCAGACCTCGTATAACAGGCTTCTCTGCCAGGCCACCGGGAAACAGGTCAATGTCATCCACATGTCTGTCGGAACAAAGGTCATGTGAGGTCACATTAGGGCCCTTAATTACGTCATCTGGAGTAATAATATTGATGATGATGACGATAATAATAATGATAATAATAATGATAAGATTAATAATAATAATAATAATAATAAATAATAATAATAATAATAATAATAATAATAATCATCACCTTCAGAATTATACATATTTCACGACATAAATTCACGAATACTAATAATCTTTTAACAGAGACAAAATAAAGCAACAAGAATCTTAATAAACACACATAATATTAAGTCTCTTTTGGGGCTTCATAGACTATTAACCCAACTACTCACAAAGTCTTTAATATATCTCCTGGTCTGACTGGTTGGGTCTCCTCTGATTGGAGGCACAGTGTAATTACCTGTCTGGGGAAGCCAATCAGATAGGGCCGTTTATTCATTTTTTAATCTTGTTTACTATTCGGGTTATATTGGATTATTTTTGTGATTAGTTTGTTGGTAGATTAATTATGTGGATGTTGAGAGGTAAACACTCCCACCTGTAGACACTACCCACCTGTAGACACTATCCACACTGTAGACAATACCCACCTGTAGACACTATCCACACTGTAGACAATACCCACCTGTAGACACTATCCACACTGTAGACGATACCCACCTATAGACACTATCCGCACTGTAGACAATACCCACCTGCAGACACTATCCACACTGTAGACAACACTCACCTGTAGACACTATCCACACTGTAGACAATACCCACCTGTAGACACTATCCACACTGTAGACGATACCCACCTATAGACACTATCCACACTGTAGACAATACCCACCTGCAGACACTATCCACACTGTAGACAACACTCACCTGTAGACACTATCCACACTGTAGACAATACTCACCTGTAGGCACTATCCACACTGTAGACAATACCCACCTGTAGGCACTATCCACACTGTAGACAATACCCACCTGTAGGCATTATCCACACTGTAGACAATACCCACCTGTAGGCACTATCCACACTAGACAATACCCACCTGTAGGCACTATCCACACTGTAGACAATACCCACCTGTAGGCACTATCCACACTGTAGACAATACCCACCTGCAGACAATACCCACCCGTAGACACTATCCACACTGTACTGTAGACAACACTCACCTGTAGACATTATCCACATTGTAGACAACACCCACCTGTAGACACTATCCATACTGTAGATAATACCCACCTGTAGACCGCCGCCAGCCTGCCCACGGTGTCATCATCCATAACCTGTAGGAGTTCCCCCCAGTTGGTGAATCTGTGCAGGCCGCACTGTTCCCTCCAGATGTTGTAGGCTGGCAGGCCGTGGTCCCTCCCCCGCTGTATATTGAGGGCTGCCAGGTCCATCCCATAGTGGTGACCTGGAGTAAGACCTGACAGTTAGTGGTGGCCTGTAGTTAAGACTTGGGGGTTAGTGGTGACCTGGGACATGTCTTAGGAGGTACTGGTGTATCTGGGGGTCAGTGGTGACTTGGGGGTCAGTGGTGACTTGGGGGTTAGTGGTGACCTGACCTGTCATAAAGAGCAGAAATTTGGGGTCATGACAGGAGTCCAAAGCTGTCATAACCCCCCCCCCCCACACACACACATCATCTTGGAGCCAATAAGATGACATCCTGTACAGTCCCCTTCACTAGTGCGTTTACAGGGGCTCGTCAAATAAGCATTCCACAAATCATTATCATTGAGATATTTGTTTTAATATTGTTTACTTTAATTCCATAGTGTGTATATTGAAGGGGACCTGCACCTCCACATATGGAAATCCAACATGTTTCCCCTGAGACAACAACACCAGGTTAAGGGTCCATCCTGCCGGGGGACACACCGTCCTCTCTGGTCCTCGCCGCTGGTAACACCCAACAGGAGCCAGTCAAAGATGATTCTTGTCCAGGAATGATGAACCAGCAGTTAAAATGACCAGAAGATTGATGATTTGGTGATTCTTACGTTTATTCTTCATGTTAACTTTGTATGGGTTTATTATGTTCACTTAAAACAGTTAGTTTAATTTTGTCCAATACTTTGAGAACTGAGGTCCATTCCTCTTGAGAACTCCGCCTTCTCTTGCCAAAATCAATAGACCTTTCAAGGCATCTATTTTTACTACCTTGTAAAAGTCGACGCCCACATCTCTGGCATCAGTCGTGTCTGTAAAATATTACTTCTCTATACTGCAGGGAAAACAATCTTTGGCAGATAGTGAGACTGGGAGGAAAGGAACAACACTCCTTTTATCAATGTCAGACAACCATTCGCCTGTCTCCACCAATCAGCTGGCCAGCTGGCGCGCCCGGCTCTCATCGACCACCTCCACCAATCACCATCCACCGCTAACCTCTCCCTCACGGTATTGGTGGATTCCCGCCAAGAGGTTCACCTTAGACCAGCGTTTCTTAACCTGGGGTGCTAGCACCCCAGGTTAAGAAACGCTGGTATTGAGTGTACACCCTACTTCGGCGAAAAACACTCTAGAGTGTACCATCAGGTGAGATGAACTCTTACCACGGTGAAAAACACTCTAGAGCAGTGATTTTTAACCCGGGGTGCTAGCACCCCTAGGGGATGCTGGAAATGACCCTACTTTTGGAGAATGAACAAAATAAATTATCAAGCAGTACTTTACTTACTCTTTATAGTGCTGTAGCAACTGTAGTTTCTGCAACCTGACTACAGGGGGGGTGAGGTCGGAAAGGGTTAAGAAACACTTCCTTTTACCGTGTGTGTCAAGACCCACTTACTGTGACGAGAACCAGGTGACCCTTACTCACCTGCGGTCTGTCTGACGTCACACCATGGCCAAAACTGACCTACAATATAGAAGAGGTCGCACTGACTTTGAACTGACCTGGTGTCTGGAAGAGGTGCTTGGTGAGCTCATTGGTCATGTAGACGTCACGACCCTGAGCCATCTCAAAGGCCAGTCCCAGCATAAGGCGGTCCACGCTGCCGAAGTTGTGGATGTTGGCCGGGTTCATGAGCTCCTCGTGTAGCTTGATGGCTGAAGGAGGAGGAGGAGAGGGCATTAATATGGTGTGTGTGTGTATGTATGTATTTCGTCTTCTTCTGCTACTGTGGTGTGAGGAGCCGCCTTTTATCTATACCTATAACCTGCTGTATTGTCCCTCTACACACAAACACACACACACACTTCACTATCACCCTTCATATACGTCCATACTATCCCAGTGGCCCCTCTCTACCATCCAACAATTCACTCTCTGTCTTCCGCCATAATAAATACCTTTTACACTTCACTATTTCGTATTCCTTGCATTCCGATAAACCTTAAACCCAACCTTGGAGAGATAACTCATCTCTGGAGTTTGTATTTTAGAGCAGATTATTTCACACACAAGTCCCTGTTTCTGTGTCATCAACCATCATTTCTGTTTACGTAAAGTTTTCCCCTTGTTGATGCGTATTAGCTCTCCAATCATCATCTTATGTATAATTATAAACACCTAAAATACATCACAAAAACAAAACACAATCGGATTTGGGGCTTTCATATGTGTAAGTTTCTTTAAAGGAATAATAAACAATAGATGTCTGAATAAGTATAAACGCCAGGGGGGTGAGTAATGGTATTAAATTTTCTGCAGGAGACACGTGAGCATCGCGGCAGCACTGACATACGGTCGTGTTCCCAGCACCGCCGCCGTGATCAGACGCCCAGATACGGTGGTGGAGCTTGGCTGTGGCGACGGTGGTGACGGGGTGTTTTGTTCGATCTGCCTCCCTTCCTTTCATCCTTCCTTCATTTCTTTCTTCCTTCCTTCCCTCCTTTCTTTCTTCCTTCCTTTCTTCCTTCCTTACTTCCTTTTTTCTTCCTTCCTTCATTCATTTCTTCCTTCCTTCCTCTCGTATATGAAAGCTGTTGTTGTCCATTATCAAATGAGTAGTTACATGTTCAGTGAAACCTCCATATAGCGGACTCTTCTCTCCTTACAATCCGTTAGATGGGGGTTTACATCTAATGGGTCCTTGATATAACGGAATTTCATCTCTATATCGTTCGTTAGATGGAGGTTTCACATCTAACAAACCCTCGATATAACTAACTTTTATATCTATATCGTTCGTTAGATGGAGGTTTCACATCTAACAATCCCTCCCTATAACGGACTTTCATCTCCATATAGTCCGTTAAATAGAGGTTTCACTCTATGAATTCCCCTTTACCCATCGTCGGTGTAGTATATAATCCAAGATAAAAGTTGTTATTATGAAAGCCTTCTCCTGTATATTTGACAAGAAAATTTGTTCATATTTGGTAGCTTATTAACTGTCTGTATGCAGCCTTGACAACAGAGAAGATTGTACAGGTATGGAAGCCTTTTACTACAGCATCTCTGTTTCTCACACGTATCAAATGGTGTTTCTTCACATAAGGACACAAGACTATCAAGAACAATGCGGATTATACATTATACAGAAGCCATGGCCTAATGCCCTCGACGTGACCAACTCCAGGTGGGGAATGGCCGCCAGGTGAAGTGGGTATCCTCACAAGGAAGAACTCCACAGGTATGAGAGCCTTGGGCGTGTGTATACTGACGGTGGTGGTAAAGAGGAGGGGGGGAGGGGGTCTTAAAGGCACACATCTCACTAGAACAAGTTGTCACCCCAAGAGTCTTTCATTAAAAAGCTGTGGTAAAGGAGACGATTGAAAAGGTGGTTAGGATAAGAGGGCGATATCTCTCAGTTGAGGTGAGGTGGGGAGGTCATTAGTGTAAGGAGGAGGAGGAGGTGAGAGACGAGACAAGAGGACACACACTACCTGAAGGACTTGTGAGAGACGCTGATGACGATACCCTCCTTCAGTAGCCTCCCTATGTCAATCTTATATAAAAAAAGATCTTCATCGCGCACCTCGTCGTAGTTATATGAAGGAGGAGAGGCTTAATGACTTGCATCAGTTTGGTTCCTAATGATGAGGTTTGTACTTCATTTAACCCCTTGAGTAAAGTGTCTCACTCTGTACTGAATACACTCGTCAGGTGTTGGCTAAATAAAATACTAAAATGGCGTCCCCGTGGTGAAGGGGGTAGTGGAGATAGTATACTAATGGGAATAGTCTATGAGAGAGAGAGAGAGAGAGAGCGATATCCTTGGGGTAAAGCGGAAGAGAAAAAAATCCATGGAGTTAAAATGTGGAGATCCATTCAGGCGTGGAGTAATGGTCTTGAAGGTGAGGAGGAGAGTAGAGGGAGGGTTGGATGTCCCAGATGCTTTCTGAGTCTTTTATGTTTATTCAGATGAAGAAAATGTTGTCTAAAGGTGCCTCAAACCTTTTATAACCCAGGAGGAGGAGGAGAAGAGTTCAAAAGGCTGCTTCAAACCTTTTATAACTCACGCACAGAAAGACGAAGGCTCAAAGGCAGTTTCTAAACCTTTTATAGCTCACAGAGGAATATAAGGGTTTAAAGGCTGTTTCAATACTGTAGTTTATAACTTGCACAGAGGAGGAGGAGGGGGAGGAAGAGGAGGGTTCAAAAGGCTGTTTCAATACTTTATAACTCACGCAGAGGAGGATAAGGAGGGGGGGAGGAAGAGGAAGGGAAAGAGGGTTGTTGAAGGCTCCGGTGTACTCACTGAAGGGCACCCGGCGACCAGTCTTGTCACAGCGCATGAGTGAGTGTTGGACGAGGCTGTGACCGAACCTGAAGGCGGCGGTGGCGAAGGCGTTGGTAGCGGTGGGGTTTGTAGAGGCTATGTAGCCCCTGTAGTAACCGTATTTCTGTAGTGGCAGCCGGAACACCTTCATTACCGCTGGACCTGTCAGAGAGGGTGAATAAACAGAGATGTCATGATAGGTTCCCCACGGCAGGATATATCGTGCTACAGGACACGACAGGATACAGATACATAGAACTAAGGTTAAAGACAGGATATGGGTACAAGGAACTGCGGGACACGACATGATACAGTGACATGGAGCTCAAAGGTACAACAGGAACCGAGAAACTTTCTACAAAGACTTGGGCGCCAGGAAACACCACGCTCTCTACGACATGTAAACACAAGGGGGATGGGAGGCGACAATAAACACCAGAAACCCCAAGATTAAAACAAAATTGTTCTCTAAAACAAAAGACGATCGGTTCTCAGTGATAGAAAGCGACACGATTTTCCACAGCAGACAAGAACGTATTCTCTATTACAATATAAAGAAAATAACAGGCTCTTCACAACTGAATCTTTACTACAGAAAACAGAATCTTCATAACAGAATCTTCACAAAAGAATCTTTACCACAGACATCAACAGAATCTTCACAACAGAAAACAACAGGATCCTCACAAGACTCACCCAGCACAACAGGTAGCCACTCCCCGTATGTTATTCTCTGCATCTTGGCTCCCACTATCCTCCGAGCCTCGTAGAACAGTCGGTCATCGTTCCAAGCTGGGTTGATCTCCGCTAGCAGGGTTACCAAGCGGTTGTGTTCACGTAGCCAGACGGTATGCATGCTGGTGAGGGCTGAGGACGGGCACCAATGTAGAGGGGGTGATAAGATGGTGTAAATTAGTTGACATGGTGATGATGAAGGGAGTGGTGACGGTGATGGTGGTAGGGATGGTGACGGTAGTGGTGGGGTGGTGGTAGTGAGGGTGGTGGTGGTGGTGGTGGTAGGGATGGTGATGGTGGTGGTGGGTGGTGATAGTGATACAGTGAAACCTCTATTTAACCGATTATAAGAAGAGGGAAGTCCTTTACACACACACACACACACACACACACACAAGATGCCAAACAAATCCCCAATTACATATAACAGGAGTGTAGTAGCGCCTCCCACTCAGCTTCCTTTCCCCCCGCCTACCCCCTTCTCCTTTCCTTCCCTCCCCCTATATTTACAAACCAATACATTTAACTACTTCTTCTTCCCTTAATAGCTCCTCCTCCTCCTCTTCCTTCTATTGATAGCTCTTTAAGTTGCCATTATTTCTCTCATATGACTCAACTGCCTCCATTTTCATAGCTCCAGTACTTAATTGGATCACTTTTGAGTTTAATAGATCGTTCCTTTGATCGCTTGCTTTTTTATTAACTCTCTTGTATGTATGTATGTATGTATGTATGTATGTATGTATGTATGTATGTATGTATGTATGTATGGTCTGCATCTAAGTCATAAGGATATTCTAGTGACGTCATTACTAAAAGGTCAAAGGTCACTTCTGATTGGTGAACACTGACGAAACCCAATAACCTCCGTCATACTATACACTGTAAACATTAGCTCCCGGGAATACGTCGAAGGATCACGTATATCATTCATTAGACTTAAAAGAATGTATTTAATTTATCTCATACAAGAATCAACATTAAAATGGATTCTCAAATATTCATGTTCAAGTTTTACGTCCAAGTGGCTGTGTGAGAGCCTTTTCTAAGTGCCTCAGCGTTTCCTAAGTGCCTCGGCGTTTTTGAGTGTCTCGGGTCATTCTTAAGTGCCTCAGGTCTTTCTTAAGTGCTACGGGTCATTCTTAAGTGTCTCATGTCTTTCTTAAGTACCACTGGTCTTTCTTAAGTGTCTCATGTCTTTCTTAAGTGTCTCAGGTATTTCTTAAGTGTCTCAGGTCATTCTTTATAAAAAACAACAACAGAAAAGCAGACAGATAAACTACAAACCAACCACTCAAGACATCGGCATTATACCTAACTGCCCCCCCTCCCCAAAAGCATCCAATTTATAAGGGATTGGCCTAAGTCTCAGGTCGTTAAAGTGATACTATAGAGGAGCTCCGGCAGCGTCTTACGGGTTACTGCCGCAGTTGCTTCTTGATTTGCCTCTCCTAATTGGCCCGTCTCGATACACAATGAGCGTTGTACATACTGGGTGGTGGGTTCGTCTGCTGCTTTTCTTGTTGAGTAGGATGGGTCTGTGAGGGCTAGGAGGGGTTAGTGAGGTCTAGAACGGGTTTGTGAGGCTAGGAAGGGGTTGTAAGGGCATGTGAGGGCTAGGAAGGTGTATTTCTAGGTTTGTGAGAGTTTGTGAGGGCTAGGAGGGGTTTGTAAGGGCGTGTGGAGGCAAGGATGGGCTGTTTTTGGGTTCGTGAGGACGTGTGAGGGCTAGAGGGGCCTTGTGAGGGCTAGTAGGGGCTGTTTATGGGTTTGTGAGGGTATGTGAGGGCTAGGAAGGAGTATATCTAGGTTTGTGAGGGCTAGGAAGGGCTGTTAATGAGTTCGTGAGTATGTATGGAGATTGTGGTGAAGGGAATAACATTAACTTCCTTATCCTTAATTAACGAAGGTGTTCAACGACTTACCTGGCTGTTCGTTGACTCTGACATCACCAGCGTGGAAGCAGTGAAGGTTTCTCGAGTTCTCCCGACACTCTCCCTCATCAAAGTGGTTCAGGGGAGGTAAGAGAGGCTTCCGGAATCTCACAGGCTTGTATTTCAGCATACCTGAGAGAGACGCTTCAATTTAGTAGTAATCAGAGGCTAATTACTGGTGTGTTTATCTACTTGAGGGAAACAGGAGTGATGTGGGGGTGTTTAGTGAAGCCCTATGTGGTAAAAGGAGGCTTCGGAATCATACAGGACTGTATTTTTATCTCCCTGAAGTGAAAAATTGGTAAAAATAAGTAAAATAGGTTTAAAACATCCTATAGGGTTTCATTTTGGAATCCTTTCGTTGGACAATAGACAACATAGGTATAAAGGCTTCCAGAAACCTCACAGGATAAAAATGTAAGATTCCTAAACTAAGAATGTGTGATGCGAGTTTTTATTTCACTGATGGGGGGGGGGGAGGGGAGGGGAGGATAATGGGGCCAATAGAGGGGGGTTTCACGAGGTTTCTATAGCCTTATTGAAGTATGCAAATAAACCCACGCACACATTCTAATATACATAGATACATCTGCACACATATTCACCAACACACAATCAACCCCACTCCACACACACACACACACACACACCGGCTGGTAATCTCACCATCTTATTCACTGCATTCGTGAAATATTCCCATCGTAGCGAACTCGGGATGAAATTGTACCTATACCTGTACCTGTTCTACACCTGTACCTGTACCTACACCTATCTGCTTGCTAAGGTACGTGTTAGGACGTGCTAGGGTACGTGTTAGGGTACGTGTTAGGATGTGCTAGGGTACGTGCCAAGGTATGTGCTAGGGTACGTGTTAGGGTACGTACCGTCCTCCCACAGCCTTAGTTGAGCCATCTCCTGGTCATCTGAGCCGTACACGTTGGAAGCATCCAGGAATGATGTCACCTGCCAGAATTGACATCTTGTTACACATTATTCACATTTAACGGACTATTTGGAGAGGAAATTCCGTTATATCGAGGATCCGTTAAATATGAAACCTCTATCTAACCTGGTGTATCTACTCAACATACCTGGTTAATTTGCTCAACACACCTGGTTAATTTGCTCAACACACTTGATTAATCGACTCAACAAACCTGGTTAATTTACTCGACACACCTGGTTAATCGACTCAACAAACCTGGTTAATTTACTCGACACACCTGGTTAATCTACTCAACACACCTGGTTTATCTGGTCACGGGGTCCCAAGGCGCAGTTGGGTCGTGGGGCAGGTGAGGAGCGGACAAACTCCATACAGGTGTGGTTCCACTGGGAGTAGAAGGGGTCAGCGGTGGGTATCATGATAGGTAAACAATCTGGATGCTGGAAAACAACAACACGGGTTCCATTATATTCACTCTGATAGTTTCTGAGGATGTTTTTTATTTTATTTTTTCACGTGTAGCTAAAGTGAATGTGATAAATTCCTTTACAAACGCTTAGACATAAGTTAATTACCCCTTTACAAACACTTAGACATAAGTTAATTACCCCTTCACAAACACCCAGACCTAATTAAACTCTACTATTATAACTACGACGACAACAACTGCTATTACTACTACTGCTACCATCCCCAATACTACTTCTACTACTTTTTTTTTATATGGCCTCCATCCTCCCCTTATAGCCAGACCTTCGCCACTACTACTGCACTACTTACTACTGCTAAAACTACAGTAATAAATAATATTATTGCAACAACAACAACAACAACTACCACCACAACGACTGCCACCAACACTACCACTATTACCATCACCACCACAACTACTGCCACCAACACTACCACTATTACCATCACCACCACACCTACTGCCACCAACACTACCACTATTACCATCACCACCACAACTACTGCCACCAACACTATCACTATTACCATCATCACCACAACTACTACCACCAACACTACCATCACCACCACAACTACTGCCACCAACACTACCACTATTACCATCATCACCACAACTACTACCACCAACACTACCATCACCACCACAACTACTGCCACCAACACTACCACTATTACCATCATCACCACAACTACTGCCACCAACACTACCACTATTACCATCATCACCACAACTACTACCACCATACTCACCCTAAAGGCCTCAGGTAGCGGGGTACCATCGTGTTCATTACAACACCTGGGAACACTGTGGTTGAAACCCCTCGACTGTGCTGTGGCTGTGGAGAGAAAATTACTTGGTTAGGTTAGGTTAGGTGTAGGTTAGGCTTAGGTTAGGTTAGGTTAGGCTTAGGTTAGGTTAGGTAAGGTGTAGGTTAGGTTAGGTTAGGTTAGGTTATGACACTGATGTGAACAAAAGCAGATATTAGATTTTTTCACTCCTGGTGTGTATGTTTGAACCCCCCCCCCCCTTATGGTCACAAAGACACTCACCAACCCCACACACACTCACCACTCAGCCACACATTCACCAAGACACTTACCAGTCAGATCATGGTCGAGGAACTGGCCCCACTGCATAACCATCATAGTGATCTGGTAGGAGGGGCGGTTGAGGGGGCGGTGGACGGTGTCGCTGATCTGACGAGGGTTGGGTAGGGGGCCTCGTCTGACGCTCTCCCGAATCTGTTCTATCCCGTCACTGTGGTAGAGAGAGAAAGAGTGAGTGAGTGAGTGAGTAGGAATGGGTATGTGAGTGAGTGAGTAGGAATGGGTATGTGAGTGAGTGAGTGAGAGTGAGAGAGTGATAGAGTGAGTGTGAGAGTGAAATATTGAGAAAGCTACAGTGTAAAAAAGCAGAAAGACTTAGTGAGAGAGACAGACAGATAATGATGATGGAAATATAAGAATAATGGAACTATTAATGATAACAATGATGACAACGATAACTAATCAATAATCTGGACACAAGAGAGAGAGGCAGCGATTGGCTATGACTCACCTAATGACCTATGAATCACCTGGACTACCTTGTGACTCATCTTATGAACTCACCCGTAACCAGACTCACCTGCGGCTTTGACGTTCACCTGATACGCATCTAATACGCCGTGACTCACCTAAGCACCTGATCCTCACCTAAGCACCTGATCCTCACATAAGCACCTAACACACACCTAAAAACACCTGTGACTCACTTATAATCAGGAGGCAAGAAGCGAGCAAAAGGCCTGAAGGCAGCGCCCCACTCAGTCTTGACGGGGTTGTTACAGGTGCCATCCAGTGTACGGAACATCTGGGAGTACCCGGGGCAGGTGAAGCTTGTTATTTCATCCGACTTGACAGGGCAGTCATCGTAGAGGGCTGTGTTCCTCAGTGACACCTGCTCTAGTCCGAATAACGTCTGCTGCCGCGTCAGTAGGAATCTGTTGGTTAGGTGAGTGAGTTAGATTACAGTGCAGAAAAGTACAGCATTATACAGCACAACGGAATGCAGTTTAACACAGTATACAACAGCACTCTCACCCTCTCTCCCTACCTTTCCCCCTCCCTCCCTCTCACTTACTGGCTAGACAGTAGCTCTGAGGCCTTGAGAGAAGCGTAGCCGAAACTGGCCAAATCTTTACTCTTCTTCTTCTGCTTGTTGAAGGCCGCTAACAACAGGCCAGGATGACCTCGCTTAAGATGGTAACCTACAGAAGAGGTCAAGGTCACATTAGGTCAAAGGTCACACTAGGTCAAGGTCACATAAAAAGGTTTGGTTCACATTAGATCAAATTTACATCTGGTTAAAGGTCAGGGTTAGGTCAAGGTCACATTAGATCGAACTATACAGAGAAGAAAGTCCGTTGTATTTGAAAAAACCCATAAAACGGAATATATGGAGAAGAAAGTCCGTTACATCGAGGATCCGTTATATATGGAAACCCCTATATAACGGAATACATAGCGAGATAAGTCCGTCATATGGAGATTTGAAGGTAAACAAACTCACCATCTTTAAAGAGTTGTGGTTCCTTGATGTGAGTGAGATAGTGGGTCTCGTTCATCCCATAGCTGGTCACATGTCGTAAGATCCTGGAGCCAACGTCACTAGATTCACTAAACTGGATGGGTACAGGAGCTGCCCTACCCTCCCTTACCCACGATAAGGAGTAAGGTTCAGGTTTATGGTGTGGCCCGTGGATAGGGCGAGGCAAGGAGTGGTCTGTGGAGTAGGGGGTAGGGGAGGCCGTGTTGTCTCTCACCCAGAGTAGGAGGAGTGTCGTCGTCAACATCATTCTTCTCCCGCAGCGCCACCTAGGGATATAAAATGTAAACAATGTAGAGTTTTATTAATTTTCGTATCATTTTTATCTGTCTATCTTTCTATATCTATTCATCCTTCTGTCTATCCCTCAATACACCAGTCTCTCTACATAGATCTGTCTATCTGTCTCACAGCCTGTCTACAGAAGGGGCTCTCAGCAGCGTATGCCACGACGCAACACTGGGACCTGCTGAGGTGATGCCCGTGACCCAACTCTTGTGATGGTCGACCAAGGGCGCAGAGGACTGACTGACTGATCCCTTCTCCTCTCCTCCCTCACGGATAAATGCACACGGACAGGCGGATACACAAAAGGACGGAAAACCAAAATATGGTTTTCCACGTACTGTATGAGCCTTTTGAGTGGCCAGTTACTGTACTACAGTATGTCTAGACTCTCAAAGATTCCATCCAGGCTGAAACTCGGTCAAAAAAGATGGCCGTTCATATCATACCGGAACTCTTCTCATCTCAAAAGCTACCTTCCTCACCTCAACTGGGGACAAGAAGGAAATAGGAAGAGATAAAAAAAACCGAGGCATTTATTTAGTAGCAACAATAGAAACCACTCAACACCTCACCTCACCACCTACACACAGACGCTAAGAGCTCTTTCTCGGTCGTACGTCTGGCATCTATGTGAGGGAGGTGGGGGGGGTATTGCTGCCAGAAAAAATGTTGTACGTTTCCTCTGTTTGAACTTTTAAGTAAATTCCTACGAAAGAACAAAACAGACGATGTTCATACGGTGTTGTTGCTCCCGGAGATAGTGACGAGCTTGAACTCTCTCTCTCTCTCTCTCTCTCTCAGAGCAGCGGGCGGTAAACAACAACAATATTAACATCACGGGAGAGGTAAATATTGGTTGACTAAGAAAAACCCACAATTGAATCATTCCTGTCCTTCATTGGTCCATTACTCCACCAATCACGATAAACTATAACGATACTTGAAGAACATTATGAACATTAGTTACCACATCCCGTCGAAAAGTTGGCAGGATTAAATATCTGGGAGCCATTATTATCCTCGGCAACATAGTGAAACAGTGGTTATCAAAATGGACGTCTCAGTTTTCAGGTTAATGCCTTGATAATGACGGCCTTTGTACACAACTTATATACCAAATTTTATAATAGTTTGGTAGTTGTGGTGGCGGTGTTGGTGGTGGTGGTAGTGGTGGTAGAGGTGGTGGTGGTGACTGGTGATGGTAGTTTTGGTGATGGCGGTGGTGGTGGTGATAGTGATGGAGGTAATGGCGGTGGTGGTGCTGATGGCAGTGGTGGTAATGGTAGTGATGATAATGTCACCACCGTCACTATACACGCCCCCACACCGTTACCAAGATCGCCACGCCGCCGTTACCTGTACAGTGCTGCATCACCTGTGTTTGTGGTGTAGGAGGGGAGAGAGAGGGGGAGGGAGAAGAGGGGGGCAAGGAGAGGGGAGGGATGAGAGAGGGGAGGGGAGGTAGAGAGGGGGCAGGGGAGAGGGGAGGTAGAGAGGGGGCAGGGGAGAGGGGAGGTAGAGAGGGGGCAGGGGAAAGGGGAGGTAGAGACGGGGCTGGTATTCAAACAGTCATCCTGCTCATCTGCACTCACCCTCTCTCACCCCTCCCCATTCACTCTCACTCACTCTCACCCCTCTCATCCCCACACTCACTCTCACTATTACTATTATTATTATTAGTGATTTTCTGTCATAAAGTTTGTGGTGTAGGAGGGGAGAGAGAGGGGGAGGGAGAAGAGGGGGGCAAGGAGAGGGGAGGGATGAGAGAGGGGAGGGGAGGTAGAGAGGGGGCAGGGGAGAGGGGAGGTAGAGAGGGGGCAGGGGAGAGGGGAGGTAGAGAGGGGGCAGGGGAAAGGGGAGGTAGAGACGGGGCTGGTATTCAAACAGTCATCCTGCTCATCTGCACTCACCCTCTCTCACCCCTCCCCATTCACTCTCACTCACTCTCACCCCTCTCATCCCCACACTCACTCTCACTATTACTATTATTATTATTAGTGATTTTCTGTCATAAAGTATTTTTTTGAGGTGGCTGTTTGAATTACTAAGAACAGAGAGAGACTGACTGACTCGCTAAGGCACCTGCAGAATAAGGTGTTGACTTCCTGAACTAAAACCTATTGACTCACATGACGGAAAGCACCTCTGACACAATGCGCTTTTATTACAGAACCGAAGCTGTGTGTAAAGTGCACTTATTTACTGTGAGAATAGATATAACCGTAAGTGAATTATATTTACTTATCTACTTTATGTTACTTTTTCTCTTCGTCACTTATTATTAGTCTGTTAGTTTTGTATCACTTTGGGTAAATATTGGTCATGTATTGTATATTGATATTAGTGGTAATTGTACAGTTACTACTTGTGTGAAATGTACTATGGTCTATGTGCCCCATGAGTGTACTTTAAGATACAAAACGTACCTTTGTAATTAGTGGATGTTGTTCCGTAATGTACTGTTTCACGAATGTACTTATTCACGGTGTGGTTACTTAAAACATACTTTACCACAGTACATACATGGTGTGGTTACTTAAAACACACTTTATCACAGTTACCACACTATAGCTGTCGTTTTCTAAGTATTAAACTATAACGAACGTCAATATATACACACCTAACAATACTATTTCCCCTCCTCTCCACTACAGTCGTTCAAAACACGTGTGGTAAGGTCATTTAACCAAGGATAGCCAATAAAGCCACTAGATTCTTATTACCAGTAGAGGTGTTGGGTGTTGGGTTTAGGGAGTAACTAAATACACTATCCCCACTAACCTCTTCACTACAGGAACGCCAGTTTGAATATTTTATCTCACTAAGCCTGACGATTTTATTCAGAACATATAAAGCTCTCGTACTTAAAAGGTTAAATAAATATCTTTTATATTCGGTTAAATTATCGTATAAAGATATAAAACAGTACAGATATATCAATATAGTTTAATAAGTATATTAGAATTATGATCCAAAGCTTAAGGAAACATAGTAAGCTGAAGTGTCTCCACCTCAGCTTATTTCATCTGAAAATTAACTACACCAACGAAAGTAGTGCTAGTTATTAACGATACACAAAGACTTATTGAGAGCACACACACACAGACAACGTAAACACCTAGAAAAAGTGCAAAAGAGGGCATGTAAGATTATTCTCTCCCCTTCCTACTCCACATATCAAGAAGCGCTCAACACACTGACCCTCTCGGTTCTCTCTGACCATCACCACGACCTCATCTGCAAATTTGGTGAGAAGTTTCTGCACCATCCTCGGCACCGGCTCCTACTTCCACCTGAGATTCCTCGTCCGCAAATTGTTGTTCGACACCACAGCCGCATCCAGCCCATACGAGCACGAATACTGATCGCTATAAGAACAGCCCAGTCCCAACCATTGCAAAAATTATCAACGCGTAATCAACCAGTGTATTCACTCCCAGTCAATCTTACCTTTTTGCACTGTCACTATGTTGAAATGCCCTGTAGTTTGAGCTTCTCCCCACCTAGTTATTACATATCATATTTGTATCACTTATGTTACTTGTATATTATTTGTAAATCAAGAGACCCATTCTCCAATTATGTAACTGTATATTTTCAGCCTTCCGGCTGCCATGCTCTTTCAATAAACCGTTAATTATTATTATTATCACACACACACACACACACACACACACACACACACACACACACACACACACACACACACACACACACACACACACACACACGTATTACTATTTTATAACTATTCACAAAACGCTCGGAAACTCGAGAGCCATGAGCGAGGCGATGTGGTACAGATGTAGAGGTAGATAGCTAGCTACACAAGGAAAGACAGAGATAGAAAAGAGAAATAGAGAGAGATGTGGTGGTAGACAGCGAAGTGACGTACTGAAAAAGATAGAGAGATTAACAGAGGAAACTGGAAAAGAGAAAATATAAGAGAGAGAGAGAGAGAGAGAGGAACAGGTCACACGTGGGCAGACCAGACAAGAGGTTTATAGAAAAGCTCAGTTCTTTAAGTCTTTCATGTTACCTCCAACACACACACACACACACACACACACACACCTCGAAAAAGTGCAAAAGAGAGCATGCAAGATTATTCTCTCCCCTTCCTACTCCACATATCAAGAAGCGCTCAACACACTGACCCTTTCGACTCTCACTGACCATCACTACGACCTCATCTGCAAATTTGGTAAGAAGCATCTACACCATCCTCGACACCGGCTCCTACTACCACCTGAGATCCCTAGCCCGAGAATTGCTGTTCGACACCACAACCGCATCCAGCCCATACGTGCACGAACTGATCGCTATAAGAACAGCCCAGTCCCAACCATTGTAAAAATTATCAATAACTTGTAATAAACCAGTGTATTCACTCCCAGTAAATACTACTTCTTGCACTGTCACAATGTTGAAATGCACTGTAGTTTGAGCTTTTCCCCATCTAGTTAATATATATTTTATTTGTATCACTTATGTTACTTGTATATTATTTGTAATTCGAAACCCATTCCCCAAATATGTAACTGTATATTTTCAGCCTTCTGGCTGCCAAGCTCTTTCAATAAACCGTTAATTATTATTATGATTATTATTATTATTATTATTACACACACACACACACTACTACTACTACTTTGCTGTCACTCGGAATCGAGTATGACGATCATCTAGCTACGATACAATGATATGAGTTATTAAGTTTGTCACCTAGGTTGGTGAGTTTTGAGGTGACTAAAGAGGCCGATACGGGACCCGCAGGGTGGTCCACATTCGTTGCACATGTGGAGGGCTGCATCTCGTGCAGGAGGGGCGGTGGCAGCGTCTTTCCGGCGTTGGAGCTTGTCTGCATCGGTTTGCAGTCGGGCGAACTCGAAAGTATTGACACCTTCTCGTGTGGTACTCCTCCAAGCTTTACGATGTGGAGTAATCGACTCCCAGGTAAGGGGGTCGATTTGGCACTTTT